AAAAAAAAAAAAAAAAAAAAATAAATAAATAAAAAATAAAAAAAAAATAAATAAATAAAAAAATTATATCTATTTTTTTTAAATCAATTTTTTATGAATAAATTTTATGAAATTTTTAAAAACTTTTTTTTTTTCCAATTTTTTATGGATTAATTATATTTTTTTAATACTATTTTTTTTCCCAATTTAGAAATTTAAAAAGTTTTTATGCTTTACTTTTATGTTCTATTCGTTTATTTAATTTTTATTTTTTTTTTTAATATCCTTTATGCATTCAGAAATCATATAAAATACACATTAATTTCTATATTTTGAATATGGAGTTTCAGTTTCAAGATGTAGGAAATAATATCTTTTCACTTTTGTTTTTAATCAAACTAATTGTCAATCAATTCAAGGCTCTTTGGCTTTTATAAGTTCTGAAATCAACGCGCACGGAAAGACAAATAGACGGACAGTCAGAGAAACGGATAGGGCTAAGTCTAGGCTAGGCAGTTGGATTAAGAATACTATCACTCTTTGGAATCTGCCACGTTTCCTTCTGCATGATATATATGTATACACCGTGGAAGAAAATCATCTCACTATCTTGATTTCCCATTTTCATTGAGTTCAGGGTATATAGATATATGTCTATTTATATCTATTTCCAGTTAAAATATGATACCATCTTAACCTGGTTTATCAACTCTGATTTGATTGTGATTGTGTATCGCATCTTATCGAAGCACTTGTTAGTACTTGGTGCTCTCCTTAGCATGTGTTATCTCAGCATTTTGTAGAGAGACCCTCAATAGACTTACCGCTCGCGAAAGAGCAACTCGAGACCCTCCTCGGTGTGCTGCAGGGCGCTCGGTGTCTGGAGCAGCTGCAGCGCCAGGAGGAGAACGGCGCCACGCAGTGTCCAATTGCGTGGCCGTGTGGCTGCTCCGCCGAGCTGGCTCATGACTGCTTGGGTGCCTGGGTGCCTGGGTGCTTGGAGAGTGTGTTGTATGGCTGGCTGCTGGAGCTCTGGGAGCACTGGCTGCTGTTGTGGCTGGCGCGATGGACACGGGTTAACTGAGCCGCTTGCTGGCCGTGCAGAACAGTTTTGAAGTATAACCGACTAGGCGAACGGGTCCCACGTTTGCATAATTAAACGAAACGTCCATTGGCCACACACACACACCACTATATATAGTATGTATAGATATTTGTGTGTGTATATACATATATGTGTTTGAACTAATGAGGCAAGTGGAAGGCAATCCAAGCAGACGCCCACTCAACTGCAAGCTGTAGGCGCCCGCTATCTAGGAGCAACGGCAACAAGTGTCCAGCGTGACGCTTATTGCCTTGTTTATCTGGACACCGGCAGGCCAATTGGACGCTGCACGAGTCCTGCTGTTGTTGCTCCTGCTCCCGCTCCCGCTCCTGCTCACCTGCGGCGCACTGACCAAACAGCATAAAGTTCACACGTTACGATTATTCTTTGTTTGTGCATCGTAAAATTTCGCAGCATCCAGCGAGCCCCAAACGCTCCAGCAGCATCTGCACATATTGCCCTTTGGGCGTGTTGTCCTGGATATTCACTAGCGAAATCCCATAAATTCTCCAGCTACAGTGGTACGAAACTAAATGGTAAGCAAATTTTGGCTAGCTCAAAAAATTTAAGGGCAACATCAAATTAGCATTCACAATTGTAATTATAGATGAGATAGATTTAAAAAATACTTTTTTATATTGAATTAAATAAATAATAATTTAAATAAATAAATAATAGAAATATTAAAAAATTAAAATTATTTAAATAATGTTACAATAGACGCATGTTATTAAGGAACTCTTCTATTATTGTTTAAAAAGTCAAGTAAATGTAGAAAAAAATTGAGCTTAAATTAATTAATTAATTTATAAATATTATTTTACTACAAAATATACTGCTTTCATAATAGAATTGATAGGCATGCTAAAATTTTATGAATTACAAAATTAGTATTTTTAAAACTGATTTTTTAAGGGAAAATAATTAATTAATTAATTTAATTAAAATAAAAATAATTTAAGAATTTGTATACATTTCTTAAACAAAAGCAAGAACATTACAGTCGAGCATTACCAACTGCAGAATACTCATTCACGACCCAGAACCACTTTTTGACTTCCCATGCCTCCAATTTATATATAGAGTATATCATTAATGAGGATGAAATTAATACAGTTGTTAACTCTTGTTACTGGCTCTAGAGCTGTAGAAAATATAGTTTTGACTACACATTGGCGCCCAATAGTCGTATATATCTCCGTCATATCTTTAAGGACTTGTATTGTCAATTCGAAATTTCGATTTGAAATTTTCTAAGGTTTCTAAGGTTTCTAAGATAGCAGAAAGTGCTTTTTCCAAATTTTAATACTCGCTAATTGCACTATATACACTAGTATATGTTCCTACAATTCCTAAATTTCAAATCTCTAGATTCTATAGTGATGAAATGGCTTAAAACCAATCAAATGGAAAACAGGCTGACAATCGGACGGACAGCAAGACGGTCATTGGACAAAACCAATATGCTCGTTTCACTTTAGCGAATAAGTATAAGAATAAGATCAGATATACGCTAGAGTTTGACAAAAAAAAAAAAAAAATATAAATAAATAAAGAAAAAATAATTTAATAAATAAAAAAATAAAAATAAAAATATTACTTTTAAAAATTATTCGTCAGGAAAAAAATGGAATCAATTCGTAAGAGTTTCATGCGATTAGTTTTAAGATCTAGCAACGCCAATTAAATAGAGTACTATTTGGAATTTTCACTAGTTTTTTAATATCTAATATAAATTTTTAGACAAAAAAAATTGAATTTACAATTTTTACAAATTCGAACAATATGACGCTGCAAATTTATATAATTTCGAAATGGAAATGGGACTCGAAATATCTAGCTGGATTCCGTTATCATGGGCAATGCCTTACTAGTCATTGATATAGATCCTAATGCTACTTGAGCTCAAATACTTATGAAAACGATGCACTCAGAGGAAGAACGTGAATACAATGCCAATCACACAAATTAAAATGAAATAGGTCAACACGATTTTCGCTAGACGGTTCGGGATGTGTGGCCAGAAGAGCGGAATCCTGGCCATCCACGTAGCTGGGCGCCTCATATTGTCGTCCCCGGCTGGCGGCATTTGGTCATGAACAGCTGCGAGAGCAATGTGATGATTATCCTGATCGTATCCATTGAGCATGAGTAGTGCTTGCGGATCGTTGTCCATGGCCTCCTTAATGTAAATTCCGGCACGAATCAGACATTGGATCGACGGATTGCTGGACAGGTCGATTTCAATGCGCCAAGCCACACGTGGCTCCGGTATAATGGTCACATACTGAGGACGCATATTTATGACCTCGATTTCCACCATATTCTTGGTCAGATCTGCGATCAGTTTTGGCAAGTTGTACTTGCTCAGCTTGTCGTCAATATAGCGATTGAATGGCAAGAGAAGCTTGAGGTCATCGTCGATGATATTGAATTCCTTCTTTTCAGTCTGCGGAAAAGATAAATCCAATTCATTTCGAAATATACTATGATATATATTGATAGAGCGCGAGTTGAATACCTGATTGGAACTATCGATGCAATCCTTCGATACCTTGCTAACCGCCGCTATTGTGGGCAGATGCTGCTTACTACCATGTTTTAGACAATCTTCCCGAATGTTCCTGGCTGGCACTACCTTGACGTTAATTTTGTTGGCCTTGGCCGGCATTTGTGGCTCGGCTGTCATTTCTTTGTCTTCTGTGCCAGACCCTGACAGAATTTCCCCCACCCCAGCGTTTTCTTCGTTCTTCTTGGTGTCCCAAAAGTAAGCGTACTCAACGATGCATGGCCTAATTGTCTGTAGCATTGTGACTATCGAGCTTCTGCGTCCCATGCCGTAGTGGGGCACCTTGAGCCGTGGTCGCTGTCGCAGCACATAGGATAGACCATCAGGATCGTTTACGGTGGAGATCCATTCAAAACTTACCTGCGGCATAGCTTAACCTCCCTTCGTTTGATGTTGTTGTTTTATAAAAATATATAAATATCAAAAATAGTATTTCAACTACGTAGTTTACAGTAAGAGCGACACTGCAATACTGAACTACTACAATGAGTCTCAGCCTGTTTCAGTTTCGAGAGTAAAAATCTAAAGCCTACTTGCTTTGAAAAATGTACGCCTCTACCCTGGAGCAAGGGTATGAGTGATTATTAGAAAGGGAAATCGACTGGGCTGATCTAGTCCAGTCCCTCTATATGTGTTTGTCGATCCGTACGTCTGTCCGACTCGGTTGATGTAGTCTAATCCCTATATACGTCTGTTTCTTGATTCGTTCATCGGTTCATCCGTCTGTAGGTTTTCCTTTCCTGTTATTCGCATTTTCAATTAAGTTTCATTTAAGTTTACCCAGTAAAAACTTGATCGATATTCAGTGATTCCTTCTCATTTATATCGCAATTTCATTGCATGTGCATTTTAAGTAGTTTTGGTTTTTTGATATATTTGGATATAGACTTTAGTTGAAGTTCATTTGCAATTATAGCGAATATCTGAATAGATCTCTAATTTTACAAAATTTTCTAATATTCAATAGAAGATGTAGATCATATGCTGAAAATTTAATTGAAATCCGCTTTGTAATACAAATGATGTGACTTTAATTTCAGGCGATATAGTGCCCCTTTTTGTTTTCTTAATGGAAGATATACTGAAGTATCCCTAAGCTAGGCTCCTCGACTGGGGAACTCAGTAGAGAATTCAAATTTGAAACTTTATACTGATACATCGAGCTGCTCTACCTAATCTATCGAAACTATCCAACACGTATCGAAAGTTATATACCGAAAACTATTTAACTATAGATGAATTTATTTTAACAATTTGTCATCATTACATTACCTGAGGCTATATTTAATAAATAATTTATAATAATTAAAAATGTATATTATTTTTATTTACTCAAAAAATAATTCTTAATTTTTAATTTTTGCTATAAAATCTACAATCGTTACGGTCCCTGATACTAATCATAGTCATTACATACGCATCGCCATAGTTTTTGTGCCACTGTGCAGCAGCGGAATGGTCAAGTGGGGCAGTGTCCAGAGCAACGCAATTGCTTAGCTAAATAATGTCGCTGTTTACACGTGTTGCCCATTTACATAGCCAAGATCTGCGCAGGTCGCAAGTCGAGTGGAGTTCTGTTTGCCATTTGGTCTCGGTTTCGGTGCTGGCTGAGGCTCAGTGCTGCATTGGGACCTCTTCAAGATGGTACCTACAGACATTCTGGATCTATCGGTCTTTATTGTTGGAGCAAGTGCGAGTGAAATTGCAACAGCTGAACGTTAGTTCATTTCAGGGAGTTTAAAATAGATTCAGTGCTTTTTTCCCCTTTTTTTGTATTATCTCAATGCATTAGTTGAGACTTTCAATTCGTTGTGTGGGTAAGAAGAAGCTATTGCAGTAGAACAAAAGTTTTAGAAGTTGAATTCTCTGAAAGTTCTAGGTGCTCTTTTGAAGTCAAGCCTTAAACCTAAGATAAAGTTTCTTAAGTAAATCAATCAACCAAGCAAAGAATTGGTCATAATGCAGGTTGTATCCGTCATTCAAGCAACTTAACAATTATTGACATGTTCAATCGGACAGTCAGTTGATCGATCAGTGAGTCAGGAAGCTTTCTAATTCAATTGAATTGCTATTCAGACAGTCACTCGAGTCAATAAGCTAGCTAAGTCACCAGAATCACGGAGTCAGTTCGTTAAGCTTTCAATCTGTCATCTGCCTATCAATCAATGGTAGAATAACACTCATTCAATCATTCAATCAACGCGATTTTCAATCAATTATTCAATAAACCAGTTAAGCAGTCATTTAAGCATTTCGGCAATCAGTCAATCTCTATATTAGTCGAGTAAAGCTTAACATGTTTTGATGGATGAGCGTGATTACGAATATATTATATGTACTAAGTTACTCAAAGCTCATCAATCAAGCGATCAATTTGTTATTCAATCAGTCAGTCGAGTGAAATAGTTCCTATATTTATATACTTACATATATACAGAAAGGGTTTCAATGAATTTGTGTAAGGCTCAAATTGAATACGAATTAATTCAGTTCTTCATTCAATCAATAAATCAGTCTTTCAATTCGAAAGACAATAAAACAGTTTCTACATTTCCAGTTTCCGTTCAGAGAAGTGGTTGTATAAATGCCTATTGAATCAATCAATTAGCTAGCCAATTAAAGCCAAATTGTTTGTACACTCATTTTCAAAAAGTGAAATGGGTATATTGATTGTTTTGGAAAGTACGTATAGCTGTCCGTCCGTCTATCCGTATGTAGAGACTTGAAATCTGGAATATATTCTCGTGTATGCCTTTGAAGTTCGAAGTATAAAGAGTTAAGATCATCCCAATCCATATAGTAGGGGCGTGGCATATCGGAAAGTAATTTATCTTTGATATTCCAAGAACCGTTGCAGTTGAAGTGCTAGAGAGTTGAAATTCGGATTCAATAAGATAACGGATATATTGTGTACTGTATATACTGCAGTCTTGGAACTAGAAACTCCGGCGACGGCCTCTATTGACTTACACAAAACAATCGAAATCGAAAAGTGGATCTAGCAGCATTTAGGCTGTGCTTGGGTATTCTGCAGTCGGTAATACCCTGACTGCAACGCCCCTAATTGTTTTTTTCTGTTTCAATGCATGAGAGAAGAGTGATGCAAATATGTTAGTTAAATTCCAAAGAGTGAAACGATTTTATTTCCATTTATACGCATCTGGTACATATTTGTTGTAGTATACGTTTAATTAACACAAGAGTAAAATGTTGGTACAAACACTCATAGTTAAATACAATTATTCAATTTTCTTTGGTTTTTTCTTTTCATTTTCATTTTACATAGTTTCGAAAATTGCCCTGTGTTTTGTTGTTGTTGTTGTTGTTCTTCTTATTTTGTATTTTATATATATTATGCAAACTTTGGAATACCCTATAAATACGTTTACACATACAATTTAAATATGGGCTGCAAAGTTTTTATTTTTATATTTTAGTTAAAAAAAAAAAATATTTTATTTAAAATTTTTACAATCAATCCAAAAATTGTTCATTTCTGTATTTATTCATTTAGTGACTAAACATTTGTTGACTCATTTTCTTATCTTCATCTTCTTCTTTTCATTTTTAGTTTGTTTTTGTCTTTTTTATGTTTCTGGTTAAGTTTTGCTTAGATCTACAATATTTCAATTTGTATTTGTTTATTGTTGGTTTGCAAATGTTTCAATTCAAATATTGTTCAATTCCACAACTGTGCTAGGAATGCAGTAGGTAACATTTACAAATATCGATATATGCAAATAACACACACACAAAATCCTCAAGTTGTCTTCGTCTTCTGCTTCTGCTTCTGCATCTTCTTAATTTATCTAGTTAAATTACTTAAGCTACATTTTTAGTTCGGCAATGCCGAAACACCAAAAAAAAAACAAAATTGTTTGCTAAAAAAAAGCAACGATCGAAACAAAATTGGGTAAAAATAAAGGATTTCAACACTTATGCAATAGTCAAATGTAAATGTCTATTTATTGTATATATATGTAATTTTTTGTTGCATTTTAACACTAGCCAACAAAATGTTGATTTAAGTTTGGTTTATGAAATTTTGGACATGCTGTCATTGCAACTGAAATCGAAAATAGCTTTCATGATGAGTTTTCATTTGAGATATTCCGATTAAATATTTTTAGCTTCTCTAAAATCTACAGAAATTCGTCTTAGCCTTAACGAAATTTTATTTGTCACCAGAAGTGCGAAGGAGGGAGAGAGAGGGGCATACATTTATAGAGAGTACAGATTAGAATTCGAGTAACAAATTATTATAGCTCGCAAATAACTTCTAGCCCATTGTTTCATTACGCTTTGTTCTCGAGATCTTCCGAAAAAATCATATTTAGGCGCTCTCCTTCTGAGCGGGAGACTTTGGTTATTTTCGTTTTGGTTTTCAGTTGAGCGCCTTGAGTTAAGCGATTTGAGAAAACCCGAAACCGATAAAAGCGAATAAGCTCGATGACTAGTCGACTCTATCAGTTCATCTCTGAGATTTTTCCAAAAGGTAAACGGTCAAAAGTTATTTGCGAACTATGTAAATTATATGTAGATATACCAGAATTTCTCTATGTTCCATTATTCTACCAGTGTCTTGCTTTCCCTAATCCTGTTGGCTAGTGCCATATTCTGTTATTTGTTTTCTCGTGTTTCACATCAGCCATTAACGTATGCATATATATTATTATTATTATTTTTTTCTTTCATTTTTAAACAATAAAAAAAAAATATATATATATAAATATATTTTTGCTACATAAATATGACTTAAAGTGCCGAATATATAATACCCTTGCAAACTTCAAATCCAAACTCATTTCAATTTTATAAATATATCATTTTAGCAACTTAATTCATTTATATTTTCACTTAATTCCTAAATTTTAATACAGTATTTTTTTCTTAGGTCCGAGCTTATTTCTATGTATTTTTGTATATTATAAATTATTTGCCTTAAGTGTTTTGAAATTAATTAACAATTAAAATAAAATAAATCAATTTTTATTCATTTGGTTTTCGTCTAGCTCAAAATTTGTAATTTAAGCACTTCAATTTTTGTTTGGTTGGGTTCCATCATTCTTTATTTTATTTATTTATTTATTTTTTTCCTTTGATATTTATTCTTTTTGCTTCTCGAAATATTTACGCAAATTTTAACCAATTTCGAAAGAGTCTAGAGTAGTTATATAGCCTTGCCCGTCTGCCTGTCTGTCCGTCCATATGAACACTGAGATCTGGTAAAGCTAGAGACTGGAAAAGACTCGTGTATGCCATCCGTAGTACAAGTTCCTCATACTTTGTTTCGATAACTCATCCCATGTCCTTAAAATCGATCATTTTACTTAATTTTTAATTGTAATTTGAATACCGTTAGAGTTACAGATTTCAAGTTTCAGGTGTGTAGGTCTAT